AAGAGAGAGCTAACACTCTGAAAAGGGCTGGGGAAGCTGCAATAGCCAGAAGCAAAACTTCGGCAGAGAAAGAAACTACTGAGTAACAGTAATGAGAAGCATGAATCAAGTGAGGCTTGTTGCATTCTCACTGGGTGTATGAAGGTTCACATTGAAGACAGCTAGAAACCAAGCCCTGGTTACACAAGTAACAGAACCAGCCATCAGAAATGCAGATCATCTATCCCAATTTGCCTTAAAATTTCTGCTTCAAATTATAACTGGCTGTGGATAAAGAATCCTTCAGCTGGGCAACACTAAGCCTACCCCAGCTGAGGAGCACCTCTTACCTCAGCGTTTTAAGGTTCCATGAAGAAAGCAGCTCATCTTACGAATAAAGCACACAAAAATTTCAAGTGTCCAAGTGACACTTTTCTAAAATGACAGGTTAATAAAGACAATCAAAACAAGGAAAGAGTACCTTCAGCATTGTTTTTTGTCCAGTTATTCCCTAAGTCCGTGCTAAGGGATGAAACAGTAGGAGCTGACTCTTCACCCAGTGCCCCCATTGCTGTGTAATGCAAATAGATGCTTACTGTAACAGAAAAACTCAGTATATTTATTCAAGGTTCATATCATCCACAAAACATGCACCCACTTACTACACTTCTGATACCATGCAGTGATACAACAACCATTCATTTCAAACATTCTTGCCTCAAACTGCCCTTTGCCACAGAGAAATTATGATTGTGGGGAAGCTAACTATTGTTTGTGAATTTCCAAAACACACATCCATTCTGTTCTCCACTCTATTACCTTATGCAATTTAGAACACAGATAAATGCAATATACTACAGTGTTACACCTATTTACCAGTAGCTTTCCATGAGGTCTCCATTATACCCTATGAGTTTAAGTTTCATTCAAGTTTAAAGCCACTTAAGTAATTCTGCTTTGCAATGCCTTTGCATGCTTCCCACCCCTGCTGCTTATTTCAGAAGAAGCCAAGTATTGTTCAACAAAGCCATGCACTTTACTATACCCAAGAACATACCTTTCAGCAAAATATAGATGAGCATTCCAAATGCCATGGCACACAGCTGCTTGAAGCACCTTCTCAGTTCCTCAGTCCAGGCAGCTCACTCAGCTTATCTGGGCTCCCGTGTTTTCTCTTACACTTATATGCCATGAAGCGTCATCTGCTGCTCTCACCAATCAAGAAAAAGTGCATCTGGCAACAACCGCAGCCCCTGGGGCAACCACACATTTATTTAGGAAACTGCTATTATCTAGCAATGGAATCAGGTTTTCTTTTGAAACCTTGGTTTCCTATTACCCGTGGGCATCATTGTGCATGCAAAGGTACAGTTTTCAAGACAGATGTGGTATCTGTCAGAGCAGATCAATGAAATACAGCAAAACAGAGGTGAGTAAAATGAAGAATGACGTATTGTGGAAGACGTGGTCTTTCTTTCCCACAGAAATGCAGTCTTGTGTTACTTCCAGGAGGACAGTCAGCATTCAGGATGCTGCTTGAGGGCTCAGGGTCTGAGGACCATCCCGTTTTGTGTTCCTTCGCTGGTCCTCTGTGCACTGCATCCAGAAGAGGAACCATGAGAACAGCTACTGCTGATGTTACAAAGTGATAAGACACAGAGATAATGAATGATGTTCTCCACTGGTGACTGCAGCGAGAAGCCTTTGCTTACAGGCTCTGGGGAGCCTATAGGCCATACTGATGGCTCCTCAGCCAGCCTTCCCTGTACACAACCCTCTGAAGCAGGGAAAGCCACCAGCCCTGCACCAGGCATGTGACATTGGCTGAAGTTCCATGCAGTTGTGTGGAGCAGAAACAGAAAGCTAATGAAGCACACGCATAGAGAAGACAGGCAGAAAGGGCAAGTAAGCTGTGGTCTCCTGTAACAGGATAATCCTTCATTACTCCTGCCACTACACTGCTATAAAAGCCCACCTCCGCCTTTTCAAAGAAGTGGGCATGCATAATGGGAACTATCATACTTTTTACAGGAAGTGTTCACAGGTTTCTAAGACATATCTGTCACGCTCATTTCTCACACTAAATGTCACTCCACAGGCCCAAATGCTGTTCAGCTTCCTTGGCACAGGCAGCTGGGAACTAGCAGACTAGTTGTATCTCCAGAGGTAGAGCCAAACATACTAGAACCAGAAGCAGTACCTGGTTCAATAAGGCACAGACACAGCAACACCCTGACTGACTGAAGTAGAGCTACACACTTCACCCCAGCAACAGCTTCTGCAACTATGAGCTCCAAACAACAAAAACATTTCATATTTTTTGCATTTTACAGCCAAAAATCTCCTGACAAACTCCAGTCCGCTCAAATTCTCCCTCTATGCTCCACTCTCCGAAGGGATCTGCAGGATTCAACCTAACCACTTCACATGTTAAGGGAAAAAACAAGCTAGTTCTGCACATTTTAATTATACCTTCTCCTGCTCATGGACTGCATTCCACAAGGCTTTTCCTCTCCTTTGCTATCCTGAATTGCTGCATGCCTGCACACTGATGGAGTACAGCCTGCACACAGGAGTGTTTCTACCTACCTAGGGTAACCTCTGCTATCAGTCCCAAGCAGGACTAAGGCTCATGAATCCTGGCTTAAACACACATCTACACAACAGGAGCTTAATCCGATGTGAATCCATGAGGTGGCTTTGGCATTAGGCAATAGACCTGGGTGCGGCAGAAGGCTCCAGTGGATAAGGCTGGGCCTCTGTCCACCACAGGACATCCATGCTTGGACCAGGCTTGACCCAGCCTGGCACATGAGCATGCTTTTCAGGGTGGTTGCTCCTTCTCAGTGTTCTCCCAGTGGAGAATGCTCTCATAGATGTGTCGGCAGCTCTGAACATAGCATGCTGCAGATCAACACCTCAGTCTCACTAGGTTTTGTGTAATGCTAACCCATCCACAGAGGTGAGAAAATAAAAAGCTTTAGATGCACAATAAACTACTTGCAAAGCATGAAAGAAGCAGACTTGCCCAACTGAGATAAACAGAATGCCATAAATTGTCATTCTGCCAAAAAAAAGCAGAGATGATTAGAGTTAAATCCAAGAAAAGAAACACTGATCTAGAACAGCAAGGTAAACAGATGAAAAACCTCATGACTGAACATGCAGAACACATCCGTTAGCTCCACTCCTAACTCACTGATACAAGGGAAAAAAACCCACAGTCAACCCCAAAAGCACATAAAAATTTCTCCCCAAGACTAATGTAAGAGTAAACAAGTTTTATTCCATCTCAGCCAGTGTTGGGTTGATCAGTCTGAGTCTTATCTCCACAAGCACCTTGATCCTCCTATCAGTTGTAACTACTGCTTAAATTTAAACGGATAAGAAAGTTCCTGCACTCTAGGCACTACACCTTTAGCAATCATTCTGGCAGCCTCTTTGCTAAATGCTGCATGCAACAGAACTCTTGGGAAGTTCATCACAAAAATCATCAGCACAGAGCTGATGTTCCATCTTCATTCTTTTATTACAATAAGAGCATTTATTTTGTTTAAAGCAGGAGTATTTGCCACACCCTCCCTTTTCAAGTTATCTAGAGTCTACTGGCAAACACCTAAAGCTCTTGATAAAAATAAATCAAAGCCATCCCAACTGAGATAAAAAACACCAAGATAAAAGTCCAAAGTGGCTCCAATGAGAACTGGGGTAGGCTCTTCACCTCAATAGTGCACACAGTTCAAGTGACACCTTCACAGGCACTCCATTCCAACTTCCACATTGCATGAGACTAGTCTAGAGCCATCTTGGAACTAAAATTTCTGGCAACAGAAAACTACTCATCTTAGTATCCCATCTAGCCTTCTCTAAGCAGTAAAACACTGTAGCCAAAGACTCACAGAGCTGAGCCTTATACTGTGGACTAAAACCAGCCCTTCATGCAGTTTCAGAAAGCAAGAGAACAATTAAATGGCTTAAAATTCCAACACAAATATTTCATTAGGGATAAACCCTTGCTTTTTCTTCTTCTTCCTCACCCTGCTATATATATATAACATACATACATGGTGGTTTTAACTATGATCTGCTTAACTGAAGTCTGATCCAGCCCAGTCAACTATTCAGTTTCTTGCAAAGGGTGAGGGTGTTATGCACCAAAATATTTAGTTAAACAAATCCAGACATGGAGAGAAAATAATGCTGGCCTCCACTCTAGCTCCTCATTCATGCATACCTCGTGCAAACATTCAAGAGCACAATTTCACCAGCGTTCAGGTTCACCTGACTGTTTTAAAACATGTATTGAAGTTTTGCAGTCATGTCAACATTACCACTGGGCAGCTGAAAAAAAGTTCAGCCTTTCACTCCTTTCAGATTCAAGATTTCTGCTGCTATCTCTTAAGTGTTTAAAAAAAAAAAAATTTAAGAGTACAAACTACACCCAGTATGCGCCATGCTCTCAGAACCCAAATCATATTTTTAAAACCTATCTAGCATGTTGAAAGTAAGCTTTCATGCTGTTTGATCAAGACTGCAGTTCCAGGTGCTTACAAGACCTTGGTACTTGCACCCCACCCCCAAACACACAGGTACGTTTGTAATTCATGCTGCTGCTTCATTTTCACACAGGTTAACAGACCACCACCACTGGATCTGCACAGGCTGCATTCTCCCTTTTAGCTCACAAGTCAGTAGGAGGTTACACAAAGTATTTGAACATCTTGCAAACTATTTGGTTCAGCATGCTTTACATGAAAAAATAAATACAATGTAGAAATAAATATCTTTGTAGTAAAAAATAAATATTTTGTGTATCAATAAATAGAACAACTTGGATTCTTCTTCCAAACAAGTCCACTTGCTCTAGTAAATGAGCTTTTTGGCAACTATGAGTGTGTTCTTCAGGAGCATTGCAACAGTCATAGGTCCTACCCCTCCCGGCACTGGAGTGATAAAGGCAGCCTTCTTCTTCACTTCTAAGAGAAAAGAGAAAAAGATATTAACTGAAAGAGTTTCTAAACTCTTTTGTTCTGTCAGTTGTTCACAAGCACTTAACTGGCAACAAGCACCAAGGACTGTGACTTGGAAAATGTTGGAGAATATGGGACAAGTGTAAAACAGACAAGTTTTAACCACTGAGTTCTTACAGCCAGGGTAGTGACAGGACATCATCAGAACCAGGCTGCAAGGTCATCTTCTTCATCTGAACATTATTATCCAGGGTTAGTTCTGGGCAATGCTTTCACAACCCATTTGAGCTGATCTATCTCCAGCAGGTTGCCCTTTCCTCCTGAGAGCCTGTGCCCAGACAAATAGAAAATAAACCCCACCCAATTTTTTGGTAAGGGGCAGTTTGTGACTACTGTTTGACCAGACTGACCAGCCGACCCAAGAAGGCTGGGTGATCCAAGATAGGACAACCCCAGGAGGGCAGCAAGGACTTGCACCACTTCCATATGCCCGCTGGGATACTGCACCTTCAATATCCAGGAGAGCTATGAAAGGTAGGGACCTGATCCTGTAGGTAAAGAGGTGGCTCCCCAAACTGTGTGTGCTGCTGAGGAGCAGCATGCAGAGCAGGAGTCTGCTCTATCAGAACCAACAGCACAGCACCAGCACCAGTTAAGTCGCCTAACAGCCCCCTTCCCCTCCTCTTGCTTGCACCTTCTATCAAAGACATTCCATGATCATAAAAGGGAACTTAAACCACAGAGGAAGAAAGTAGTTTCCTGGTTCATTTGCTTGGCTGTTTCACACTATGGACAGAACAAAACCAAGAGTTGTCTGCAAGAGAAATACAGATCCTGGTGGCAAAACTCCCACTGTGACTTCAGCCACAAACGCTCAGCTCCTCCAGAGAAGACCTGGGTTTTTTAACCAGTGTTACTAGGGTGCCTATACTGAACTGGGATTCAGAAATGCAGATCTCCCCCAGGTCTCCAACAGAAAGAAACTCTTAAGAGCTGAATTGGTTCTAATCACGAACATGTCAGACTATCCAAAGTCAGTAGACACCTTGAATGCTTGTGTTGAAAGGTAAATCCCTACAGATTATTTAGTTAGCACCTATGAAGTTAACCTCTTTGGACAAGGAATTAATATAATGCAGCAAACAATACTGACTTGATATTCTTATCTACTGCACAAAATGCAATCAGGTGGAATTGCAGGTTACTTCCATAGAAATTAGATGCAACTGGCTGGGAATTCAGCATGTAACTAATGAGCATCTATTTGCTAGTAATGGTTACTCCAAATAGAATATTATTAACCTGGTTACTACAGAAGGTTTTCCTCCAGTGCCACTGTGAGAGGTTTTTTTTCTGCTTGTTAGCTTTGGGTTTTTTTCTTTGCTTATGAATAATTTCATGGCAACTCACAAACCACTTTTAAAAAACACTGTATTTGAAAAGGCACACACACACCCCCATGAGAACACTGAGCAAACACAACTCTGACACAAGCACATACACTTCCACTGAAGTCACTACAAAGCAGAACCTACTACACCTGGCCATGAGAAGAGCTCCACAGATGGAAAACTAAGCACCTGGGTTTTGGAACTAAGACAGTAATTTCCTCCTGCTTTAACTGTATTCATTCTGAATTGTATGTGGCACTTTACTGTTGAGAATCATAGAATCACAGAATGGTTTGGTTTGGAAAGGACCTTAACATCATTCAGTTCCAACCCCCTGCCAAGGACAGGGATGCCTCACACTCCTCCAGGCTGAACAGCCTCAATTTTCTCAGCCTGTCAATAATATAACAATGTCTCAAAAAAATTAATATTACAAGAGAATTTAAAAAGCTGGATATAATTTTTTTTGACAGAAGAGTTATTAGATTTTAAGGGATAGTAAATTAAATAGAACCTGCTGTCTGAACTCCATAATGCAGGGACCTAACAAAAGCATTTAGGGAAGTTAACGGTGATTATCTCACTGAACTTGGGCACAAAAGATTAAGCCTCATTGAGGAGAAATGGTCATTACAACTAGAAGGGTTTTAATAACGGAGCTGACTGATACCACCAGATATAGAGTGAAAATATTTGGAAAGGTCAACAAATTGTCATGTGGTTCTTTTCACATGTAAACGGTAAAAAACGAATTCAGCTCTCCTATGAGCTATCCTTACTATTCTCCAACACCAATAATTTGTCTTTTTAATAGTTACATTATTTTCTACTACCTCCCATTTAAGCCTGGTGTTTTTGGTTAGCACAGTTACTCCAAATCCCCAGACTCAGGTCCTAATTATTGAAATTTACCCACATCTGAGGTAAACACAGTAATTAACAAAGAAAATACCTGAGGCATTTCAAATTGAAATGTTTGTTTCTATGGCAACGTTACATACTGCTTTTTGTGGTGTTATCCAAACTACTCCTATCTGACTTACAAAGTGGAACAATCCACAGCCCGACCGTGCCTTCTAATGAGTATCTTGTACAACATTCATCACCTCTAGTGTTAGTAACCATACTCCGTGGTAAACACACAGTGCTATGTTCACAAGTTGCCGGGGAACTTCTCTGCCCACATTCTCTCATTATGAAAATCCCTGTGGGTCAGTGTGGCAGAAGACATGTTTTGTATCAGTTAGCAGAAAACCACCTGGACAGCTTATTCCCAAAAGCTGATCCAGATATTTCAACGCACAAAGAGGTGTCTTGTGCTGGGGAAACTACCATCTGGTAAGTTGCCATTGGTAAGAGCAAATATGGATATGGTGAGTGCAATTTTCCAAGGTGAATGCCAGCGATCAAGAGGGAAAAATAACTTGGCCCTCAAAAATGTGACCAGATTTTGTTTTCCTCATCAGGCATAGCACAGCTCCCAGGCATGACAGATCTCCTATCAATTCATTCAGAAGGTCATGTTCCTGCTTCTCAGCAATGGTCTAACTTTATCCCCAGGTTTAACTCTGCTTTCTGGAGCTGCCTGTCCTTGTCCCAGGCATTTCTCTGCCCATGTGGAAAATACTGGCATGCAAATCTGGTGCCTCTGGGGGCGGAGCTGCTGTTTTGCAGCTTCTGTAGAACCTTAAAATCTTCCTTTGATTCTTCACAAGAAATGAAATGTAGATTGTTTCCTTGAAAAACAGGATCCACTGCTTTGGAAACAGCCCTTCATTCCTACGTTCCTTTAAAGCTAAGGACATCAGACACCTAACAGGGTTAATCATACAAACTAAGGGCAAGTTTCAACCTGAAGGCAATTCTGGGTCTTGTGCATCTGCATTAAATGATGCAGAGTAATTCCTGCCTAAGCACTGTTTCCACACAGCTTTATTAGCCCCTGTAAAGCTACTCTGGATTGCTGCATCCCTGCACCTCTGCAAAAGTGCAAAATCATGTGCTCAGCAATCACAGTAGATACCCCATGTTCTGCTCTTCACATTCTGGGATTCTTCTCACTGCACACCACGGGATGCCAACAGGCTGGGATCTACTCCGTTTCACATCAGTGCCTTCTTTTTCATGTTATCCCTGTTCCCCTTACTGCAGCTATTTTAACAGCAATATAAAGGAAAACTGAGAAATCTTGGTGTGGTACTGTAATTCTAGGAGCACATACACCTTCCCTTCTCCAGTACCTCTACAAGCCAAGCAGCAGAGGCAATCTCTGGCAGCAAAATCCAGCACAAAATTATGCACAACAGCTTCTTTGCGATCAGGTTATTAGCAGGTGGATGGAACACTGCCGGAGTCTTGGGACAATAAGCAGTGGCAGCAGAAATGTAAGCGATCCAAGGCTGGTTACTTAAACCCCTGCATGACATACCTTTCTGTGGAAAAGCATCTACACTTGGCCATCCAGCAGTTTATCAGCACCACCCAGTCTGTCCTTCTGGTGGTAGCAACCTTAACACTAACTTTCTGATTAATTTATTGCACTAGTGGAGCAAAACAAAAGGCAAAGCTTACCCTGATTTTTGCAGAGCAGTAATGTGGTGACAAGATTACATAGCCTGGCCTTTTATTAATTACAAAATGAATAATAACAGATCTTCAAAATCAACTGAGAAATTAACTAACAGAAGCTACAGCAAAAGCAGCTGGAACACCCAGGCTTTATTTTCAAAACCACTATTTGGAAAAGCTGCACAGAGACAGAATCTGGAAAGGATTCAATAATCTGAAGAGAAGCCTACAGCCTGGAAGGTAACACAATGAACGCAAAGCGGCAGCAAACAACTGTCAGGAGTGACTCCTGTCACTCGGCTGGAGTTCCCCACGCACTGTAGCTAAGTTCCAACTGCAGGATCACCACTTCCATGGAGGAACTGGACTCCAAAATTATTATGGTCAATCCCTTAAACTGCATGAACAAGTTGCAAACAACTTGTCTGATGATTTTGTGGTCATTAGTCCTGTTGCTGATGAGGACAGGATACATTTCCCTCTTTCTCATTCCACTGTTTCTTTCTGGTACACTTGGTCTATCCAGGAGCAATATGTTAATGTGGTCCATTCCCCACGTTCATAGTATTAATTTCCCTGGTTTCCCTGCAGTCACTATGGACAATTATCCTTCATTGAAAGAAAATTCTTAACATGCACCCATCACACCATACCATATCAACCATTTATTGAGGCACTTTGCCATTCAGTACTGAGTACTTGAGTACCTCCTGTTCCTGGTGGCACCCATTTCCCAGCATCACAGCCTGGTCTATGCAAAACAGATGGGTTGGGATATCCATGCTCATTTATAAACCCCTCCACTGATACATCACCTACAAAGGTCTTGCATAAAGGATTTATTTTCCATATAGACATCCAATAAAAACTTAAACCCCAGCATTACTGATTGCTTGTCATAGATATGGGAGGAATCATAAAGAAATACAGGCAGCACTTAAAGCAAACCCCACGTGAGTTCTGGACACTTTGTTTCAGGGTTATTTCCAGTTCCAGTCTCAAAGGTTAGCTATTACACTGGCATGTTATTACCCTGCTCTACCAGTCACTCCTGGAAATGGTGTTCCACCCAAAAAAGCCATTCCAGTTAAATGCTCTGTGTAAGTTGTTGCTTTATTTCATATTCCTGGTCCTTGCAGCCTTCCCCCCTCAGCATTACTGCTGTGGCAACAAAGGCCCTATAAACAAGGGCCAAGTACTCCCACACACATGCTACCCTGCTCCCAGAAACATGTCTCCCTTCCTGAGACTGAAACTTGCTGTCCCAAAGTAACTAAAAACAGCACTGGCAATCATGTAAGGATGCTACTGCTTTTTCTCCTCCCTGTCAGTTTACCCTCCCTCCTGTGGCTCCCAAAAGCTACAGAAGTCCCCTCCCTTGGACACAGATTTTAGCAAATTCTTAACATAAAGAGGGGTACACAATGTGCTGTGCTGGTTATATACAGATAGATGCACACAAAGGTGAAGAAAGGCCATCAATATTGGGGTAGGTACCTCAGCACTCTGCAGCTGACCTTCACATGCACAGTGTTTTCCTGTCTTGTTCTTTCTGATACCTGGGAACTGCTCAGTGAACTACTGTGCAGAAAAAAAAAGCCTTTCTTGGTGCAGACACAGTTTGGACTGCCAAGCAAAAAGAGGACATATGGGGATGGAGGAAATCACAGATACAGTTTAAAGATATTCTATAATACAGCCTAGGATTTCTGCCTCACTACACCATTAAGTCTGACAAGTAGAGGGGTACCCAGTTAAATCTCTGCTCACCCCATGCCACATTTCCCTACTTAAAGAAGGGGATGATGAGACAACAGATACTGGTGGGCTACACAATCCGGTGCTGCATATCATGCCAGCCAGTTATGTACACCTGGCCTTAACCTGCAAAAACCACTTCCACTGGGGCTTAAATGCAAATTCAATCAAGTGACAAGACAAAGGAAAAGGATGAAACAATTTGCTACGTTAATATATTAGCTTGTTCCATTTCCTCATTGCCAAATCAAATGCTTGGTGAGGGTGATTTACTTGTTAGTATGTAGAACTGCATACACTGTGATGGTTTTTTTTGCGGTTAAGAGATTTACTGAAACTTTCACCGATACCAATGAACCAACAACAATTTCCCTTTGGCAATGCACAGCAAAATTCTACTTGCAACTGTAGTGGCATAATCCAAGCTGAAGTTCCTCCCTCCTTGTTGGATCTTCCCTCCCCCCAAGTAAAATCCTGAGAACAACCCACAGCAGACATGATGAGACACATACAGTGCATTGCTGAAACTCTGAATCACAGCCTTGTCACTGAATCTACACCTATATTGCATTGAGAAGGTCTCATGATTACAGAAAGACAAACAAAAAGGATAAAACTACATGTTTCTCAAAGGTTAAAGCATCTTTCCTCCCATACCTACTAAGCAAACAAAAAAATTCCTGAAAGTTCTCTATACTTCAGTTCTGAAAACAGAAGATACAGCTTTTTACTTGTGACAGTACAACCAGGATAACAAAACAAAACAATAATTTCAAATAGTACTCCAAAAGTATTTTCCTACTGTAACTATTGTAGAGACAAGTTGCACACTTCCAAATGCACGCCAAGACAATCCCTTAGCTACACTCGTGCAGTTAATTCCATTGACTTTAACAAACAAGCATCATGTGTGATGAGTAAAAAAAAAGCAGGAATCGAGGGAGTGAGGTAATTACAGACACATACAGCTGGCTAGAAACATTTTGAATATAATTAAGCTTTGAGACATTATGCCAGCTAAGACGTTAATAACCATAAAAAAAAACCCTGTGGGTGATTTTCATACTTATCAAAATAAGGAACTGTTGAGAACCATTAATAACATGGGTAAATGCTGTCTAAGCTTCCCACACTCAACTCTGCCAGTAAGCTTTAATTTTCAACTGCAGCAGTCCTGCTATTCCAGTCTGGAGCTCCTCCAGAGCAGAGATATTTAACTGCATTACACTGTGAACTTGCTGGGCCACACATGAAACAAAAAGATCAATATGTAACACCATCACCATTTTTTATCTGTTAGGTTTGCTTGGACGACTATTTTCTACAGCTTCACATGAACCCACATTAAACGTTAGCATAAAGGACGCTTCTAAAGCAGAAGTCAACATTTTCATAAATAAGTGTAGAGTGAGAGCGTAAGAGGAGGCTTGAGAAGCCGTAGTATAATAATATTTGCTATGAACACTGGGAGACCCATTGATGGAAAAAAAGCAGAAACTGTTTTTATTGCTTACTCTTGAAACATTTCAGACTCACAAAGGACTGAAGAAACCTGGAGACAAGCATCTGTCATCACACTACGGAAAGAGCTCATCTGCAGCTCTTGAAGGTTGCTAGTATGTGTAATTAAAAGTAACACTTTGTTCAATAATAGCATCTCTTAAGAGCAGATGAACACAGTTTGTTCTCTTATCTAAGTAATTAGATATATTCAGATATATATAGATATATAAAACATAAATTAGAAAAACTCCTGCAAGTGTCATCTCATTTGAGACACTGGCTATTCCAAGTATTTATCGCGAATGAATCTCACAAACTTCAATCTCTTTATCCAACTGGTTTGTACAAAGAGTGTTTCACTGACCTTCAAAGTCCACGTCCCCAACTAGCTTGGTCTTTCCTGTAAGAGGGTCACGGATATGGTTGATACCCACATCAATCACAGCCGCACCTTCTTTGACCATGTCAGCTGTAATCAGCTTTGGGATACCTGGAATCATTGAGATGAATTTGATTAACATGGCTGGGCAGCTTTAGGTCATAAGTTTAAATTATATCAAGGGCTGTGCATGCTTGCGTATGTGTGCACAAAAAAAAAGGTTATTCTTTTACTTGAATGTTTCTTGATACATCACACACAGAAAACAATAATCCCTCAGTTTCACACAGTTTGTAATTATGAGAATAAAAGGCAATATTTCTTCATTTTTACTAAACATTTTCAGCTGAGTCTGCAGTCACAAACATAATCGACATGATCTCAATGAAGCAGTTAATTGCTGGTTTGTGGTAGTACGTCCCATTCACAGCATTTCCAGAGAAAAGCTGGGCCATAAAGATGCTCTGTGAGCCACAAGAAGTCTTTAATATAGAAACGTCAGAGGCCTGCTGATCCAAAGTGTTGCCAACTGCTGAAGCAAGCCCTGTACGTTACTTCCATGGTTTTTTGCTTTTTGTATTATCTGTATTGAATTTACGTTACACTTCTCCGATTTCTCATATACTTGTTACCTCCACAACATTTCAACCAGTCACTTAAATAGTGAACATGAACTACATGAAAATACACTACTACAAAAACCAAAATAAATGCTAGCATGACAAGAGACTCTGATCTACCCTGCCATCTTATTTTTGCTTCCCATCACCTAGAAATGACAGGTGTTCTGGGTTTAGCTGTAGCAGCTGTTTTTGTCATTCCTAGTAGCTGGTGCAGTGCTGCATTTTTTACTTTAATCTGAGAACAAGGCTGATAACATGCTGATGTTTTTAGTTGCTGATAAGTAATACTTACTCTGATCAAGGACTTTTCACTCTCTCATGCTCTGCCAGTAAGGAAGGACACAGGAAGTTGGGAGGAAGCAGAGACAGGACACCTGACCCAAACTAGCCAAAGAGGTATTCCATACCACAGTCAAGTCCAGTATAGAAACTGGGGGAAGTCACCCAGAAGGCCCAGGTCACTGCTCAGTTCAGGCTCGGTATCAGTTGGTGAGCAACTGTATTGTGCATCACTTCTGTTTATTGTTTTATTTTCCTTTTCCCCTTTTAGTTTTATATTCCCTCCCCTTGATATTTCCCTTATCATTATTATTATTGGTGGTAGCAGCAATATTTCTGTATTGTACCTTAGTTACTCTTCTGTTCTTATCTCAACCCATGGGATTTACGTTCTTTCAATTTTCTTCCCCACCCCTCCAGGAGCAGGAGGGAGGAAAGGAGGGAGGGAGAGAGCGGCTGCATGGTTCTGAGTTACCATCTGGGCTTAAACCACAACAGGCAACAGGAAAAAATAAAATGGCCATTTCAGATTTACCCAAAATAAACTTCTCATAAGCTAGATCTTTTCATAAGCTAGAAAAAAAAAATAAAGCCTGGCCTCAGCCCTAGACCCCTTCCTCACCTCTCAGGTGACATCTATTACACACAAAGTCTAACCTAGGTCCTACCAAACAGGGTAACAAAACACCATTTTGTAAGGCAGTAGTGCTGGATAATAAATGTCTTCCATAAAGAAGTGTGCAGATGGCCGCACACAAAGAGTTGTGGTCAATGTATCAATGTCCAGCTGGAGACCAGTAATGAGTGGTGTCTCTCAGGGACTGGTGTTGGGACTGGCCTTGTTTAACATCTTTGTCGCTGACATGGACAGTGGGATCGAGTGCGCCATCAGCAAGTTTGCCGATGACACCAAGCTGTGTGGTTTGGTTGATACGCTGGAGGGAAGGAATGCCATCCAGAGGGACCTCGACATGCTTGTGAGGTGGGCTGATGCCAACCTCATGAAGTTTAACCATGACAAGTGCAAGGTCCTACACCTGGGTCGGAGCAATCCCAGACACAGCCACAGGTTGGGCAGAGAAGAGATTCAGAGCAGCCCTGTGGAGAAGGACTTGGGGGGGTGGGTTCGATGAGAAAATGAACATGAGCCAGCTTCAGTGTGTGCTCACAGCCCAGAAAGCCAACCGTATCCTGGGCTGCATCAAAAGGAGAGTGACCAGCAGGTCGAAGGAGGTGATCCTGCCCCTTTATTCTGCTCTCGTGAGACCTCACTTGCAGTATTGCATGTAGTTCTGGTGTCCTCAACATGAAAAGGACATGGAACTGTTGGAACAAGTCCAGAGGAGGGCCACGAGAATGATCGGAGGACTGGAGCACCTCCCATATGAAGACAGGCTGAGAAAGTTGGGGCTGTTCAGCCTGGAGAAGAGATGGCTGCGTGGAGACCACATAGCAGCCTTCCAGTATCTGAAGGGGGCCTATAGGGATGCTGGGGAGGGACTCTTCATCAGGGACTGTAGTGACAGGACAAGGGGTAATGGGTTAAAACTTAAACAGGGGAAGTTTAGATTGGATATAAGGAGGAAATTCTTTCCTGTGAGGATGGTGAGGCACTGGAATAGGTTGCCCAGGGAGGTTGTGAATGCTCCATCCCTTGCAGTGTTCAAGGCTAGGTTGGGTGAGGCCTTGGGTGATATGGTTTAGAGCGAGGTATCCCTGCCTGTGGCAGGGGGGTTGCAACTTGATGAACTTAAGGTCCTTTCCAACCCAAACTATTCTATGATTCTGTATTGTGAAGAACACTGCCGCACTGGATTTAAAACTGCAGGTAGCATCACACATCTACTTTGAAGAGATTAATCTCATCCAGCTTTCTAGATGCAAGACTTCCATGGCATGCCAACAGCTCCTGTTGATGCACAGAAAAGACCTCCCTTTCAAGAACAGTAGTTCAGTAGGCTCAGAATAGTTCAGAGCCATTTTAACTACAAAAAAAGGCTATCTTGCAGCTAATGTACTAGGGCTGCTTTATCAACAGTAGCATCATGTGATCATACACCTGAAAGTTTCTGCCTGGACAGTCACAACAAATGAAGCCTCTTCTGGAACATTCAGGCAAAGCAGCATCTGAGACTTAAGTCACTGCATGCTATCAGAGAGCCAAGAACATCAGCTCCTTATACATCATTTGCATTAGCCTATGGTACCTTAATTGCATCAGTGGTACTCTTTCCTCTGTACTCACTTTAAATAAAATCTGGAATTTCCTTCCTAACATGCAACTTCTAATGTGAAGTGATGGGAAACTCCAACTTTGACATTACAAATCACTTTGCTTCTTGAGCAGTTCCATCAGTTCTATGTTTTGTGAGGAATGTTCATCCTAGTAATAGGGTATCTCCAAAGGGGGAATCTAAGCTCCCCTCTCTCCACCAAAGCAGCCTTCTCTCAGGTGGAGAGAAATAAAAAAGCAAAACAGAGCAAATGCATCTGGTTTGAGACTAGTTTTATCAGAGGCAAGCACTAGTGTACAAAAGCTTTGGCTTTATCTGAAGTGCTGGATGACAGCCAGTTAGTCATGGAGATACAGGCAATACAAGAACCTTCACTGCTCTCCATTTCTCACTCCCCCATAGGACACAAGCTTGAAACTCTGCTTCTAAAGTTGGGCAAGCCAAGACCTCAAATTCTTTCCTATGCCACCTGATAACATCTGGCTATGTCTACTTCATCACACTCTTGTGCAATCCATTGCAAGCTGGCTGTTAACTGGATAATGCCTCAGCCTTATGGGGGTAAATGATCTATGCATGATAGGGATAGAAGCACATTAACAGCTGTACAGTTACACCCTTTGTAAAATGGTTTGATAATAGGCCAAATACTTAATAGCAACAAATGAACTAACCTCCAAACCAAACGAGCACATCTATTTATTTAAGCCTACTTTACATACCAAGTAGGAAGAGATAAGCGCTAGCACAGCTATTCCTAAAATGCACTGACTGAAGAATGTGGGAAAATCTCTCATTGATACCTTGTGTAGAAAATTATCAACCACATTTTAAACAGAAGAGAAACAAAGCTGGGAAGGAATAATCTACATGGATAGTTACAATCAAAGCAGGCAGGAAAAGTGGGGTTTCAGTTTTCCTAGGGGCGTATGAGAGAAAATACATGAAGATGGATATTCTCAAACTCCAAAGCAATAAAAGAAGCCACTGACTTGAAGTGTTAGGAAAGCCATGAAATGCAAGTGAACAAAAAAACTCCTCAGAGAGAGTAGAACATCAGAATGAAGAGACTCCCTACAACAAGTCACCAACCAGGAGCCAGAATGCAGATGACTCTGCTAAAATTACTCCATAGGAAGAGAAAAAAAGAATACAAATCTTGCACCTACATGTAGACATGCATAAAAGGCTGTTTTCCATGTGCACACCTTGCACAATGGCCTATGACAGCAGCTGTTCCTATCTGGCAGGTTACAAGCTAGCTTTTTTGCAACACTCACTGAACAGGTCACACATTTCCAGGCAATGCGTGATCCTGAAGGTATGATGTGCACAATTCTCAAGTAACAAAAGGAACCCTGGAAGGATTCCAACTTTCTAAAGCATAATCTTCCCCAGCACAGCCACTTGGATAGGGCTGCATGCTGTTTGCACAATTTAGCTGTATGCTTTTGCATCATTCCAAGTGTATCTCAGGTTGTGTAATGACTGTTGTATCATGCTCCTATTACAAATGACACAAGGAAAACACAAAACACACACATGGTACTGAACCCTTTAACTGCAAACGCAACTGATGGCAAACTGTTCAGCGTAAAAAATCAGAAGTGATGATAAAACTGGAAGCAGTGAATTTGGATGAACAGTTATTAGTTGTCATGGTTTAAGCCCAGCTGGCAACCCAGAACCACACAGCCGCTCACTCACTCCTCCCTCCCCCACCTTCCTCAACCTACTCCTGGAGGGATGGGGAGGAGAATCAAAAGAATGTAACTCTTGATAAGAGATAACAGCAGCCCAGTAACTAAGGTATAACACAAACCACTGCTGCTGCCACCAATAATGATAAGGGAAATAACAAGGGAAGAGAATATAACCCCAGCCCGACCCAAGCAGTGATCTAGCCCTTCCAGGTAACTCCCCCCAGTTTATATACTGGGCATGACGTGCTGTGGTATGGAATACCTCTTTGCTAGTTGGGTCAGGTGTCCTGTCTTTGCTTCCTCCCGGCTTCCCCTCCTGCCTGACAGAGCATAAAACTCACAAAGTCCTCAGTCATGGTAAACATTATTTAACAACAACTAAAAACATCGGTGTTACCAGCGTTGGTCCCAGGCTGAAAGTCAAAAACACAGCACTGCATCAGCTACTAATAAGGAGAAAAATGACTGCTACTGTTGAACCCAGGACACTAGTTTACTTCCAGTCAGCACATACATTATCATCATCATTCCTTCACAGTGCATGAATTCTGGTCATGCCCACAGTTGGGTAATCCTATGTGGGACCAACTGAGCCATCTCCTGTTCCTGACCTGGCATGAGAAAGAGATAGTACAGTTAAGCCCTGAAGCAAAGGCCATCTCAATGCAACAGGAAGTGCTGAGCTTTAGACAGGTACCTATCTGTCTTAATCTAGAAATTGAGTAGGCAAGACTCCGGTCTTGAAGATGATGAAGAAAGAGGAAGGGAGGAGAAAAGAGGAAAGATGCAATCCTCTTGTAGTCCTTCAAACTGGTATGAGTCAAGGAAGCTATCTTGAGATGCAACAAGACACGGAATTTTACCGAGGTTTTTATTAAGTTGCATTGTTTGGGTTTGCTTTCTTTAAGTTCATTTATATTTCTATTTAGGATGTCCATAAACAAAAAAAAAAACAGGTTGCTCAGAAACAGTTCTGTTTGTTTCTTTATTCCAGACTAGTCAAACTAAGTGTTTCATCCTACACTGCTTTGAGAATAAAGACACTGATCTCTTGGACCCCTTCCTCCAGGCAATTACTATTCTCTTCTGTTCACACGATAATTGTAAAAGAAAAAGAAAAATAAATTCAGCCATTAATAAATTAGGTTACCAAAACTATCAGTTAATTTGGCAAGGTTACCTTTAATCCTAACAGTAAGGGAATGCTACCATTGTTTTATGAACACAGCCTCCAGCTGATTTCAGGAAACCCTCCTGTCAAAATTCCAATGACTCATGATTTTTGCACAGCACAGAGAATGTTTTAATTTACATAATTATACCTGTATAAACTATGCACTGACTGGTTCCCAATCTTAAGTTCACTCTAAAGTCTCCCTAAGGGAAAGGTGTCACATGTGACCAGAAACAGTTTATGAGTCTGCAGATGTGAAGGGCAAGAACAAAGAGCCAAATCACTTGCCCTTCTTACAAGAAATCCTACTTACTGCACACCCTCAACAAGCATGAGCACCTATTGTTTGGTAAAACATGAAATAGCCAGCAGTGCCACCAACACAGACACCAAAAGTCTACCTTTTAGGTTTTAAATATTGCAGTTGGAGTATTAACAACAACTAGTATTACCTGCAGCTACAATTACAATGTCAGCAAGTTGCGTATGGATCTTAAGCTGCTCTTTTGGTGTGTGTCTGTGAGTGATGGTCACTGTAGCATCACCTGAAATGTAACAGATTATCAATTAATTGTCACATATACAATGCTTGCACAGCATTTACTTGGGGATATTAACAACAGTACAGATGATCATCAGATTTGTCTTGGGATGCATCATTTATGCATCCCAAGTTGTGCCATTATCATAGGCACAACGTTCACAACACTTGCTGCTCACACATGAAAAATACATTTAAACTTAATTCTCAAAGGATGAATTCATTTATATGTCATGGACTAACTTAGTCCTTCACCAGCTTCATTACATTTAGAGGAATCACACAGAGCAAACCCAGCGTGAAATCCAGTGTGTAGGCTAGGCACAATTTGTACTGTGTGCCATAAGACTCAGTTGTTTGTCACCAACTAAAGCTTCAAGCACAAGCTCACCACGTTTGAATATCTGTCCTCAACCACATTTGTCATTCATCTGTCCTGAAGCACCCCAGATGCTTCTCTTGATGATCACAGTCTTCCCTGTACTTGTGACCCAACTTCATTACAGTGTTTCCCTGGAGTCAAAGTTTAGTCTTTGACCCTACCATCTCTTGCACGCCCTGATAAAACACAACCAGTTGAACCCTTACTTCATCCCAGAGTATGAAGTGTTTGACATTATCATATATAAAAGCATGCATCGTTTTTGTCAAACTCAAAAGATCTGAGGCGTGCTCCTGCATGTATCCACATTTCTTGGCAAGGAACTACAAATAAACCCTCCTTAGTAACAGATTAAAATCCTTGTGCTGTTTGATGAAGATACTGAGGAAAAACAACAACACACAAAACAGACTGTCATGGGGACAGGGCCTGAAGACTTACTGCCTCCAACAGCCACCACTGGTGATCCCCTCAGGGATGCCCAAGAAAACAGCAAAGATAACAGCTATCAACAGACTCCTCCCAACACTCTCCCTGTCTATTTGTACTGCTCAGTGTTCAGGTATTACATCCCCTCTTCTCCACCTTCCACTTATCATTGACTACTAAGGCACATGAGGAACCATTAAGCTAAAAGTTTTCACTATCTCAGGTGTTGCCACCACATCTGCTTCCTCTGGAATGTGTCCGACTGATTTAATCTGCGCCTCTTATCTCATTAACTCTCCTCTTCAAGCATCTCATCTTCAGCCTGTCTGCACTCTGACTTTTCTGCTCTTCCCCCTCATCTTTGATCCCTCTTCTCCTCCAGTCTCTGTAATGCATACCTGAAAAGACTATACCATTGAAGAGAAGCCGATAAAGGCATTTTCAAATCATGAGAACAGAAAAGTACAGATGTGCATAAACACAAAATCACCAATTGTTACCTCTAAAAAATATACACATAATGGGATTCTTTTGACCTCTTAGCCTGTACCCAGCAGGAAGGCTGAGAAAAACTAATGGATAAAATCTGAAGTTACAAACAGTCACATCTTTGAGAAACAAAATCAATGGTATTCTCCTCATCAAAATTTTAGTGAGGAATGTGTAGGTAGGTAGCTCCTGAAACCAAGTAACTGCTCTCATTAACAAAAAGGAAAGAAGATTAAAAAAAAAAAAAAAAAAACAACACAACAAAACACACACAAAAAAAACCCCAAAAAAAACAAAATAAAAAAAAAACCCCAAAAAAAAAAAAATAAAACACCAAGGGCGGAAGCCCCTACCTTCAGAATAGCAGTCCAGAAGCTTACAGACACCTCAGAAAGGGTAGGTTATCCATTTATTTGTGCTCATGCCAAAACAGAAAATAAACAACTACTTCACACAGCTATTTCCACTGTAAGAAGACAAATACATTTAGCCATTAAGATTCTGCATGATACTGCTGAGTGAAGTCACCAGCTTATAGAGAAAGCCCCTTGACCTGCCTCCACCAAACACCGTTTGCTTTGTAAAGTTCAGACTGCTTTCTCATCTAACCAGATAACGCCATCTGCAGGATGGTTTCTACATACAACAAATCACTGATGGAAGACAGACCTAGCTTCTCAGTTTTGTTCATAATCTGTAAAAAAAAAATCACAACTAAAACATAAAAAAGAAAGAAAATAAACAATATAATAATAAAGCAAAATAGCAAAGAAGATAAGTGCAGAACACTAACCAGATTTTCAAGGACAGCCCAATCTGTGAATCAGGAGTGAAGACTATACTAGTGTACGCCAACCACAAAAGTTTATCACCAGGCACACCACAAATACGTAATTAATGCTAATTTACTGTGAACAAAGAATAAAAAATCCTTTGTTTTCTCAATGAGAGCTGATTTATGCTGTGTACTACTACTTGGCAAGTTGGAAAAAAAAAAAGAAAACAACAAACACACAACAAACCAAACCTACCCTAAAAATAAATTCATGTCTTCAGAATAAGCAAAGATAACTTCAGTAAGTTACACTTAGCTTCCAGTGCCAGTAAGGGAATATCCAAATGTTTTCCTGTCCCTGCACAGAATACTTGACAACAAAGTTAATTCATGGACTAGCCCTTCAAACCAAATTGTACTACTAGTAGGCAGTCAAACAAGAACTACAAACCAGGATACGAGTAAAACTGAGCCACAGATCCAACTACCTCAAAAGCTGAAAGCTATAAACCAGTATTTAGTTACAGCTAAAAACCACCCATGCAACTACTATGGATTTTGTAACAAACTGCTAAGGAATCACGGGTCATTAAGGCTCCCCATCTCCAGATGAGAAACATGCAAGTAGTTGGCAACATAACTAACATAACATAATATTGTATAAAGCTTCCTTCAAACACCAACCCACACTGCCAGTAATATACACAAGGCAATATTAGCACCAAATGGCAAAAATGCTACTCATTTTCATGGGAATGGGGATGAGACCAGAAGTATGCACTGACGGTAATTACAATTCAAACACTAAGAGAAGTTTCAAACAGCAACTTTCCCACAGAGCCTGAATGGAAAAGCCAGCTCTATGATTAGTAAGAAGCTTTTTGTGTTTTATTATATTAATAACAGATTTCACTGCACTCCTATTAAACATGGCTAGGATTAAGCATTCATTTTTACCTCATTTGTGCACACCACCATGGCAGTTTCTAACATCAAAATGAAATTGCAAGAGAACAGTCTTCTATTTAAATTCTATTTGTTTTTCTTTCTGCAGCACAATTATAGTGGCACATGCATGCTTCTCCAATTAGAATTACTTAAAAATATTTCCCTTACAACCCCAATTTCCAGAGGGATATAAAGTGCACTACAGAAAAATCCCCCTAGTCAACGCGTAGTATCATAGAGCTCACACAGAAAAGTGTTGGTCATTTGGTATTTTCATAATCACCACCTAACTAACATAGCACAATACAGGAATTGTGTCATATCCATCTATGTACGTGTGTATATACGTGCGTGTGACAACTCGCATATGATAACCTTGAAATTAATATTACTAAACCCAAGGATAAGGCATGCAGCTGTATTACTGTGTATAAACATCACATGAACCTCTGTAGCTCAATAAGGCCAAGCTGCCAGGTATTACCCTCAACGTTCAGCACTAACCATGTTTAAACAGTAGCTGTTTCCCATGGAGTACAAAACTATGACGTAATACCAGAAAAAGTCGAGTCCAGAAACTGCTCTTCTGAGAAAATGTCAGGAAATATATAATAAATTAGCAAATTTGCTTTCTTGCTGTAGTTGTAAGTATTACACAAGATACAAAAGCTTCCAGTTTTTGTCCAAATCCTCTGGTCAGCTTAATTTCATGAATGGAAGCATTAAAACAACACTCATGGATTTACCTCCAGGCCTTTCGTGCTCTCCATCAGTATGTAAAAGCATTGAAATAGGCATTCCAACATTCTTAGATCTTCCAGCTACGACAACATTTTTCCCAAATGTCTGTATTCCTTATAGGAAAAAAAAAATTAAATTATATTCTGCTATTTTGATATACCTAAACCCTTCATTCTCAATCGCCAAGATAACGTTATGTGCTCTTGTCGACTCCTGACAACTACATGACTTGAAAATCTCCGAGGCTGAATTTGAGGGATGAATCCACAAAACAACTTTCAACTTTCACCTTAGAGAAACAGAGTGGCAACTCTATCAGGTTATCTGAATCACCTTTGGAGAGACCTCATTTCTCTTCTCTGACCACAAAGGGCAATGGAAACTCTTACATCCACCAATGAGAACATGTATATTATACTTATGAAATAACTATTAAATCAACAGGCATATTTTTCCCTTTCTAATACTGAATTAAATGCTCCCACTTTTGTTCTTGTTTCTTTCCCTTCCCCTAAGAAGAACTTATGCATTCAAATCAGGACATCAGCAATAGCACAGAAAGTTCCTTACAACATCTTGATGGCTCTTTTGAGGCTGAGGGAGGTTAAAAAGGCATCTGAAGGGATGTTACATGGGTGCTGACAGAGGATGGGACAGGTTGGTCCATCAGATCAGCATGGAAAGTTTGAGGTCTTCAGCGACATGGCTCAGTGGGAGACTTGGCAGTGCTGGGGCAATGGTTGGATTTAATGTTCTTAAAGGTCTTTTCCAACCTGGTTGATTCTATGATTATAGAATACAGAAAGTAATTTGAAGTGTTTCACCAAGTATTCTAGGCAGACTGCTGCCTATACATAAGTAATAGTTATGCTACTGGCAAAAAAATCTCATCTATTTGGCACCTCCTTATTATTTAGATTAATGCTCTAAATTTTCGTTCTTCCATTAGCCCAGTATCTTTAGACTAACTGCACCTTGTAACTCACACCTGACTCAATCCTTTCAAGATAAAAAAAGTTTCAATACCATTCAGTTCCTTACCTGTCCGTTTGATGATCTCCCAAATGGCAGCAGCAGTGGCAGGTATTATAGAAGGCTGGTCAAGACACAGGCGTCCAATGTTCATAATGTGAAATCCATCCACATCCTTTTCAGGAGCAATAGCATTACAAACAGCTCTCTCCTCGATGTGATCTAGGAAACACGATTTTTCACATTACAATTCTTTCACTTGTCAGGTGATGCCAATAATATCTGAATCATTACACAGAGAAACACGAGTTGTTTCTAGCTAGGTAATTATTATTACTATTCATTATGAATACACTATACTCCCCCCTCTAAAGGCAGCAGTTACAAATTCACCTTTTCAAGTCATCTACTGAAAATTAAATGCTTCAGTTTGACATTGCTAGTACAACAGATTCAGTCAAAATACAAGAGGCTGATACTCAACTGAGAATGATGACTTCGTAACTATGAAAACACATGTTCAAGTAAGACACTTCAGAGTCGCTCCTGCATTCTGAAAGTGTTATTTATCAAGTGGCTCAAAAGAAATAATCTAAAGAGAAAAGTTACTGTGTCTTACCCGTCTCTAAGTTCACCAAAGATAACCTAAGCTGAAATAACTCTGCGGATCTGCCTTTCATTTCCCCTTTCCCAAAAATATAAATGGTTTTAGTACTCTTCTAATCAGCAAAACCAAAATGTATTCTACTTTTTCAGATAGCTGTTAGAAAACAAAGTTCTTTGATACCGATGAGTCCAAAACACTACAGTTAGCTTAAATGACTATACCTGCACATAATTTACTACTCATGTAGTTGCAATGAACGTTTTTCATGTGCATTTATCATGTGCTATTGATATGGAATAGGTCTGCAGATGCTTAAAGTTTACATTGCATAAACACACAAACTGACAAAGAAAAAAAAGAAAAAAAAAAAAAGCGTTACCAAGCCCTACTTCTGCAAAGTTACAAACCCCATACATACATAAAGACACTCCAGAGGAGCAGCTCTATAAACCATACTCATAAATGACCCAGAAAGCAAACCCTAGATTTAAACCAGACTGTTAAGATATACAGTTCTATTCGCCATTTTCCGGTGGAAGGAAGATTCCTTCTGATTCCTAATAAGAAGGATCTGTGGAAATTGAGATGCTAAGTACATGGATGAAAGAGTCCTACAGGTCAGACTAGCCTCATTCACACTGAGGGCAACCATAATCTTGTTTTTATGTCAACTTGGGAAATAAGTAAATAAATAGAAATTTTGCAACAGAAAATTTGTTAACCTCAGGGAAGTCAGTTGTTCATCAAACTGAAACTTCACTGCTCTTACAAATACCTCCTGACTGTTGTCTTCAGCTTCCCAGATACAGACAGATCACAGATACATTCATGTGTAAGAGAAAGAAATCATGCTTTGCAGGGAGAAGAGAGGATATGGGCATCTTTCCCTCCTCATCACAGACACTTCTACGCCACCACCTGGAGCAAGCCATCCACAAACAAGGAAACCAATTCAATACCAACCATATAGACAGTTGCTATGTTACTCAATGAGTACATTTTATTTGCCTCAAGAAATTTATTTTCCTGATTTGTTCCCACCTGACTGCAGGTAGCCTCATTTATTCCCAGAGGAACAAGACTATTTCTGAAGGATGTTGCTGTCAGTCTCACAGAACATGCTTAGCCTCCTCTCAACTGACAGTCAAACTCTTTTGCTGTAATTCTGAGCTATTCTGCATGCCAAGTTCCTCTCTGCACTCACCCTTTCCCTTTTAACCAAACTTACAAGACTACACCAGGTATCTCTTGCCCAGATCCTCTGACATGCACACAGAGAAACTCTTACACAACAAACAACATGTGTCTCTACTGTTGACATTCAAAGAATAAAGACTGGCTCTGGAATGGGAAGCTGATGAAAATAAAAACCTAGCACAAAAAGGATCTGAAAACTTACCATGTGGATCAAAGGAAGGAGAAAGCTGCTCAGCAGGAGCAACAAGCTCCCTAGAAATAATTTTGAGCAGCTCTACTGTGACACGGCTACGACTTTACCAGCCAGTTCCACCAAATCAGTCACGCTTCAGCTGGCAGTCCTGCACAGCAGATGGACATAAGGTCCCCTGCCTCATACTTGCCTCTTACAACTAAAAAAATTGAGTTTTCCATCTTCAATCTCAAATAAATATCTAGCATTCCATAGCCATCTTCCAGGCAGCTAAAAAAGATACAGGAAACTCTCCACAAAACCATTACCACATCAGAAGTAACACACTCTGAAGGTGCACAGTAAGGAAGTTCTCCTCAGGCAAAGATAACAATCCTCAAAAGTCAAGTTGCTCCAGCTCACAACAGTGGAAGAGAACAAAGCTTTCTTCTGCTTCCATTTTTATCCCCATGTTGATCAAAAGCTACACCTGTGTGTGGTTTACTGCAAAAACCCCAAACCCCACACAACCACCTCAATTCTGGAATAAGCAGCCTCTACTGATCAAGTTATCACAACTTGAAGGCTTTGTCTCCTTCCATTACAATGCAAATTAGAAGAATTTTGGAAAATGAGCTAAGTTAGCTTTCTGCCCTTTGGCTTACGGAGCTCCTTTGGGAGTGAAAAAAAAAATAATAAAAAAATCTAATGATAAGAGCTATAACCGACATCTATTCTGGAAAGAACTTCCTGAACATTTGCTATACATGATAACTTGAATATTTAAGTTTCCTCTAAAGACAATGCTGAAGAAGTCCTGCTATTGATTAAATTACTCTAAGATTTTTACTAAGGCAGGTAACAGCCAAGCCCTAAACTAGCAAGTTTCATAGGTTTGAGGAAGGTTAACTAGTCTTTATGTAGTTACCAGGACAGACATAATGTTCTTGCAAGGGATACTCAACCACTTACTTCAGGGCTTAAACAATGGACTAGCATCAGACATTTGAATTACACAACTAGAATTATCCTCAGAGTTTGTGTTTTGGTGCTTTTTTTTCTTTTCAGTGTTACACAGGTCTAAAGTTTCAAAGTTTCAAGACCTGTTTCTGAACCACATAACAAGGGCAGGCAGTTTAAGAGAAGATTGGATGAGTCCATTTCTTTCTCTGTCCTTCAGACAGAAGGATTTCCATCTGCAGGCCGGCAATGCTCCATCTTTGGCATGAATTCTTGCTACTGAAATGAAAATTCTTCCATTACCTATTTCCCCTAATCTATTCTTAATGGGAAAGATGTTTGTTCCAAGTAAACCGACCACATTCCATTGGCTCCCAGAGTTCTTCTCTCGGCAGCAAAGATTGCAAGGTCTCTTTATCTGTGTTATACTCCCACCTTGTGGCCAAACCCAACAAGCGGCCGACTTCAGTTCCCTTTCACGTAATAGGAAACGCCAAACTTCCTAATCACAAATGCTGGTGTTTATTACAAATACAAAGCAAGCATCTCTTTCTCTACAACACTCAGCACCTGACCCCATTTCTGCAGCAATAAGGAAATAAAAGCAGCAAGAATTGCCTGAAGGTGAAGACCAGTACTAGGAGTAAGAGTGGAAATGAAAAGCTCACCTCAAAACAAAGCGTCAGCTTCATTATTATAAGAGATACTTAAAAACAGCAGCCCCTGGAGCCCCAGCTACTGTATCGTGTGTATGCATGCCAAAAAAGACAGCTCCTGCCTCTCACAGAACACAGTATAAACGTACAATCAAAGACAACACTTGGAAACATGCCAGTCAATTTATCACCATGACTCCACTTATTTGGGTTCCTCTTCATCAGGAAGCATGCAATGGTTTTACCAGTTTGACTTACGCAGATTTAGATGAAAAGTTTTATCATTGCCAAAATCCCATTTTGACAGCTATCGGCAAGTGATATTTTAGAGAGATTTTATTACAAATTAGGAGAAGTGAAATGAAGAGGATAGTAGAGGCTTTTAGGACCTTAGCACAAAGCTTATCTGGAACATTAGGAATAGCATAGAAAGCATGATCAAATATCTAAGGCAAGACCTGGAATCACTGCAAGACAGTACAACTTCGCTTGATATAGGGGAGGAAAATACAGCAAAGGTCTTGGAGTTCAGAACTGAACAGTGAAACATGATAAAAAAAATAATATAAATACATATATACAACTAAGCTGGGTAAAGTGTGTCTGTGGAGGGAAATTCCTTGACACAGCATTTAACTGAACCTAAAAAAAAGGCAAGGTTGAAAATACGAAGTGATTCTCATGAATTAATTAGCTTTTCCGTCTAAAATTAAGTGCAGGTTAGTATACAACAAAAACATCCCAACTAATCATTAGGCATGTCCTTTTTCAAGAGTTTTTTCTGTCACCAAGATACTCTTGTAACTCAAAACTGTCACACTTTTTCATTTCACATTGACTGTATAGAAGGAGTGGGGCAAAAGATGTCACCTACCTGGGAGAGGTAACTGAACTAACAAACCACTAACTCTTGGATTCTTGTTGAGTTTTACAGTCATATCTAAGAGTTCTTCCTGCGAAATGTCTTTAGGCCTCAGTATGATCTCACTAGAAATGCCTGATATAAAACAAAAGCAGAAGACATGTTAGTACCAGGAAATTTATCTACAAACAGCTTACTTATTTTGTTTGAAAATGTGTGTGATACTTAACAACTGTCTTAAATAAAGACAGAAGACTTACTAGAAAGTCTGTTTTCATTTTCTGGTCTTTAATGCTGTATTTCTGGATGCCAAGTACCATCTTACAACAAAACATACAGAAATAAATGACCAACAACACCCTACAGCTGGACTCAGCAGCTCCATAACTAAACAATAGCTTCAAAGTATTTGGAAAATGAAGCATCTAACTTTTCCACAAACATGCTTTTGAGAACTATAACTACAACTGAACAGATAAAGCTATCACTAGCATTACTGACATGTTATCTGACAGCTTTTCTACCACAAAACTCAGTATCAGAAAAGCAAGTTTTTCAACTTACTTCAAAAGATTGCCATTTCACTGAGAGCAACACTCCCATATAGCCAACAACTCCCCAATAGTCCATTTAGGCTATTTCACTTCCATCTGAAGATGAGGTGTTAATCAGTCACTTCACTGTTTGCTTTCCTTATGGCTGAAATGTTGCCCTTCTTAATCAGAGCTGCACAGCCTTGCTTTTGTATTGGTTTGCCTGGCTCAGCTGTGAACTTAGAGCATTCCATGGGACAGAAATTCAATGAGATACAGCAGATGCACATGAAGATTGATATTATGAAGAAATTACTGACATTGAGAAGAAAAAGGCTTTTCTCAGTATCTATTTAATCACAGTTCCCAACAATTCTAGGGTAGGATGGACTACTACCACAGTGAAGTTAGGCTGAAAAATGCACATATAAAAAAAGAATCTAACAGGTACTGCTAGATCTTAAGCCAGTATTTCACAATAAGAAAAAAAACCGCAAAAAACTGTCATGAAGAAAGAACTAAAACCTGACATAATTCCTCTCTATTTATCTTCATTCACCAATCCCCTCAAGACCAGTTAATGCACTGAACTATCAAAAAAAAAAAAACCCAACCCAGTGTTCTCCTTCAGTTTCCAGTTTCCAGCAGTGAAGGTGCAAACTGCTCCCTAATGTTCTTACATACAGAACTGAATTTATGCTACCATTCATGTGCCATCAAAATTACTTTAACACCTTTTTCTTCAAGTTCATCAGGGAAGAAGAGGAGAAAAACAGCACAAAATTAAACTGAGATACAAAGAGTGCTCCTCCCCCCACTTTTTCTTACTTAAGCATCTTATGCTTAGAAGGATCATTTATATCACATAAAACATACCTACTGCTGTAGCTGCTTTTATCTTGTTTCTGACATAGATATGACTGGCTGGATTGTCACCTACTAATATGACAGTGAGATGAGGTCTCTTGTTTCCAAAGGATATCCACAATTCTACATCCCTTTGAACTTCTTTCAAAACTTGTTGAGCGAGCTTTGTCCCTGAGATAATGGTTGCTTCATCACTAGAAAGATGAAAACATACACAACATTTAGCTCTAAGATTTCATAAACAAGACACTTAAGTGTGTAATCTACCATATCAAATATGCGGTTATATTCCTGTAACCACTCTTGGCCCCTCAACCAGCAGCACTACAGCAGGTAAATGTCCTTAGGTGAAAGGCCCACAACCATTGCCCTAGCCATGCAGAAAAGCAGAGGAAGACTGAAAGTATCGTGCCTTTAACCTGGCCTGGTACTACGTAGTCCCCCTCTCTCCCTCTATCATGGTGTGATCATCACCCCAGCCAAGGATGTGGACTCCCTCACACATCTCACCAACCCACAGCAAACAAGAAACCTCCAGCATGTATAACTTCCAGCTGCTAAAACGTTCATTTATTTTGTAGCAGGTAGAGTAGCCTTTAAAAACTATCTTTACTGCTTGGTGGTGGTGGTACTTAGAGGGGAGAAAGCGGGAAGAGATGGCAAGAGCAAGAAATTGTACCACTGATCTGCTTTAAAATGTTGAATTCTGCAAGATCCAAAACCCACAACTTCAAGCAGCCAAAAGGAGTAAGATGCAGCTAACTTCTTTCAGAATTTTCTGCTGTTTCAATCATTCCTAGTAAATTTTCATGACCAAAGAAGCTAAATGCACAAGGTGTGGAAGGAGAAAGGTAGAGGGGGAACAGCAGCAGCAACAATGAGCCCACAGATGACCTGGCAACCACAAGACCACCCAAAATCACAGACTTTCTATTGCCTTACAGAAAGAAGTCATCCAAACTCAGCCTATCTGACTGATAGATGGAGAAATCCAGCCTACATTTTGTGTTATTAGGAATGGTTCTCAGAGGACTCTGCTACATAGGGAAGAGCAAGATGCCCACAAGTAATTTTCTCTGGATTGGAAATAGTAGTATCTCGCTAACTTCCACTACTGCTTAATCCCTTTAAATAAATCAACAACTTATAAGCAGTAACATGACAACCCCAAAATGTATTTTAAAATAAAATTTACTTCCAATGGCATCTGAGGTTGTCCTGGGTTCAGCAGTAGCAGTCATTTTTCTCCTTCTTAGTAGCTGGTGCAGTGCTGTGTTTTTGACTTTCAGCCTGGGAACAACACTGATAACACTGATGTTTTTAGTTGGTGCTCAGTAATGTTTACTCTGACCAAGGACTTTCTCATCCTCAGCTCTGCCAGGGAGGAGGGGAAACTGGGAGGAAGCAGAGACAGGCCACCTGACCCAAACTAGCCAAAGATGTATTCCATACCACAGCATGCCATGCCGCCAGTATATAAAATGGGGGGAGTTACCTGGAAGGCCCAGATCGCTGCTTGGGTAGGGCTGGGTATCTGTTGGCAGGTGGTGAGCAACTGTATTCTCTCCTCTTCTTATTTCCCTTATCACTATTATTACTGGGGGTAGCAGTAGTGGTTTGTGTTATACCTTAGTTTCTGGACTGTTCTTATCTCAACCTGTGGGAGTTACATTCTTTCGATTCTCCACCACATCCCTATGGGAACAGGGGTGGGAAAGAAGGTGGGGAGTGAGCAAGCAGCTGCATGGTTCAGAGTTGCCGGCTGGGCTTAAACCACAAGAGAAGTAAAGCTTAACAGTGCTCCAAAGGCACCCCAGAATAGAAGGGAAGTTGAATACCCTACTCAATCTTACAAACTACACCCCCACCCCTGAATGACGCTTTGGAGACAATAATATTAAGAGATACCCTTTATTAAAGCTCTTAATGTCTTTTATCAACTTCCCATGCTGCCCTCACCAGGTAACAGCTTAAAGATCAAGTACATCTTGACTGAACAGGACTTCCTTAAGTACTATTTTGTTCAGATCTTCCAAGTGTCAGCTTTATCTTACCTTGGTTGTTCTCCTGGTCGCCAAGGTCTTCTCCACCTTCCTGCCTGCCTGCCTGCCCACTGTAAGCAAGCATAGCTACTCCTCACCTTGTACATGTCTACAGGACATATACCACAACAATTCGAGCTTGCACCTATGCTGTCTCCTTCACTAACTGAACCTCTCTTCATGGAAACATCAAGAATCCAAACATGATACATACATGTTTCTTGGTACAATCATCTGATAGAGTAACAAGTAAATACTACACTATCTGTAAAAACACAATAACACAATTGTTATAATAACACAAACTCCACAGAAGCAGAACTACCACACTGAAGCAAAGTTGGAGTTACTAATGGACAAGTTGACTCCTATTGAGCAGAGCTGTGAGGCACTGTAAGAAAACCACACCTTCCTGGCTCATCAGCTACTAACCAGAGACCATCAACTCATTACTACAAAGTAAGGCTGAACAGAAGAGGGTTTCCCTGCTGCAAACATCCTTCACTTCCCTTGAGAGGAAGAGCTTTAGGTGTATGCATGCATACACAGACTGAATCCCTGCTTTGAACTGAATAAATTAATTTAACATGACTGCTACTTTTAACTGATACAGTGTAGCACAGACTCCAGGTGAGTTCTATAATGACACCAAGAAGGCCCCATGATAACTTAAACTAAAAAAACAAACAAACCAAAATAAGAAAAAACAACCCAAAGTAGCTAGAATTCATGTAAAAAAAAAAAAAAAAAAAAGAGAGAGAAAGAGAAATTAACACATTTGCTGATAACAATTTCCCCCACTGTGAGGAAAGCGAAGTACTGCAAACATACTTAGCATACAGAAGCCATGAACACCTTGTTTCCTTCAGTTTTACACCAGCCATAGCTCCTTCCCAAACATAAGTTTCTATAGTGTTTAACTTAAATACATATATATATAAAATAATTAAGCCAACAGATGCGGTTTTATTCTTTTCCTGTATCACTTGCTCTGTATGTACTCATTTTCATAGATGTCTCTCATCTTCATTTATGTTTTACCTATACATGCCTTTGGCATCAGACACTTCTTTCCATGTACTCATTATGCCAAATAACTAACTAATGCTTGCCTGTGTAGAAATGCCAAACATATTTAAGAATACAAGGACTTCACAATATTTGGGTTACACAAGATATTCTAAATTCACATGAACGTGTTTTGCATTTATATTCTGCTTTTACTCTAAATGTGTTGCCAAAGGAGAAGTCGTCCTAATCTTTAAGCAAATAATCTTTAAGTGCATACCTCTTCCTTAAAAATCTAGACACAGACTCGTTAAGTTTCCAAGATCTGCCCTCACTTAAAACTGTTCTCACCCGGTCATGTTCAACCTTCTCAGTCATCCAAGGACCAAAACCAAAGCAAACAAACAGAAAACAGAGCCAAAAGCACACTGCCACACACACACATTCTAAGCTTGGACAGAACATACATATTACACCCTATACAGAAAGTGCTACAATGGGATCCTCAACATCTGCATCTTTCTGAAGACAACAGCGAGTTCTACAAGCTTTAGCAAAAGCCTCAGGACAAAAACTTGCCCAAAATCAGAAATGTTTCAAGTTAAGGATATTCTGAAAAAAATAATACTCCTACAAATAACTATTTCAGTCTTGAGAATTTATCTCATATTATCATCACTACAGCAAGACACACTGTTCTTCCTGAAAGATTTTAATAAATTAAATGTAATCACCATAGTTATTTACTTGACTCTTACACTTGACTATTTTGACTTTTGCTGCTTGAACTTTGCTTGACAGATAAAATAAGCAAAATGTGTGATGGTATTTTACCACTATTTTCTAGGAATACAGCAGTATTCATTATCTCTCTTGATCATTCCAGTGGATTCACAATTTCATCCTGATTTTTAAGACAAGGGTACAAACTCAGCATACCATGGAAACATGCATAGCCTGTTGTATAACAGAAGTGTGGGTTTAGCTCCACTGAAAAACCTCCCTGGGAATAAGAAAAAAAAAAAAAAAAAAGAAAAAGAAAAAAGCCCTAGTAGATTAGCAAAATGTTTCATCAGGTATTTAGAAAATAACAGCTTGACATCCTTCAGCAATAATCTTTTTCTTTGCCTGACTACCTCTGAACATCCACAACTAAAACATTTTGACACTCTCTGGAAATACATATGCTTGAAACTTTAATGTATATTCATGCACAAACAAATTTAACAGATTAAACAGATGTTTAATAAATGTTGAATTAGCTTGTCATGATGAAAGTAGTTCCAAGTCATTAGTAAACCCAATAATAAAGCATTCTGGCTTTGTGTTCAAATTGGATTGGTTTTCACAGTCCTGTCAGTCTGATCAGTTGAGTTTTTTCTGTATCATATTCTAGGGGACAAGCAAGTCTATACCTAGAACAACAGTGAGAAATAAAGAAACACCATGCTTTCTGAGACAGTCTAAAACAATACGTGCACTTTGTCTCTACTAGAATAAACTACTTAACTGGAGTAAACCAACATCTGATTAAAGTTTTGTTATCTTACTATGATGCATAGTTGTTTATCAGCACACTCAAACATGAGAAATGCTTAACAATTCAACACATGGAGAAATTACCTAACAGTCAGTAGATACCATATTTAGTCACAGACAGTTGTTTAAACTTTGTAGACACATGGATGGTAGAACACTGTGGATTTTAAATATTATCCTAACAGCATAAGGAAGTTGTTCTGAAACAGCTTCTTTCCTCTGCTAACGTTTAAGATGGGGGAAAAAAATAATTCTAGGAGAACAAACAAACTACCAAGGGCATCATCCATTTCTTGAAAATAACTCCAGACACAGGCTTCCCCCTACTGCCTACCAAGCTACTCAAACTTGTTTAAATACCAGTGGCTAAAAAGCAGAAACCATTCTGGGGTTTAGATACCAATACCAAAAAGGAAACAAACGAGGTGGTAATGCGTTGTTATTTGCCGTTCCAAAACGTTTCTCTTTCTCCTTTCAATATTATTCTCCACCCTTCTTGACTCCAGAAATTACCTTCCCAAAGTAAGAGAACAGCTGCACTAATTCAACTTTTCATATAACATTATCAAGAACCCACTGTCCGCTACAAGGTCACCATCTATTCATAACCACATTTATCAAGTCTCTGGATTTACTCAACAACTATTAAAGCTTTAAGCATTTCTCCTTACGTAATTACTTAAGATCCTGAGAGTTTATCAGGGCAGCATACATTTACACACCTGACAGACTACATATGCCTGAATTCAGCTCACCTTTCAATTCCAGCAACCTCCTGCATATGGATGATCTTATTTTGAACCCTGTGTTTATAACAGAACAATTCTGGTACTGAACCTTTCTCATCCGTGCATCCAGCGACTTACAAGATATTATAGAAACAAAGACCTCAGCTGCTGTTTTAGACCATCTTACACACTAAAAGCCCAACATCATGGGGGCATCACAATGGGACGTTCTCAGTATTGTATGTATGACATGAAAACCTTTGTAAAATCATTACAGGTACATCTACGTTTCACAGAACTGGGGGAAAAAAACACAACCCACAACAAAACACAACCAACAACAACAACAACAACAAAAAAACCCACCAAAAATAAACCAGTTACAAGGAGCAAAGAACAGAAGTAGGGACCCACTGTCCAGAAATAGTTTTCTATGAGGAACGAACACATGTTTAACAGCCAGATTCCCGTCAAGGAGGAGGCAGAAGACCACATCGCAAGCTTTCCTCCATGACAGGGCACCGTTTAACCTGCCGCTGGATCCACGACGCCGGTGCCGCAACCCTCCCTTCCTCCTTCCCTCCGTCGCTCCAAGTACCTCCTCCCTCTTGCACTGACCCCGCAGAGCACCGTTTCCCCGGGAAAAACCACAACTCGGCCCGGAAGCGGCCAGGAAGAGACAAAACTCCCTCCCCAAAGGTGCTTGACACCCGTCGCAAGCTCCCAGAGCGACCGTTAAACGGCGGCGGCGCGCGCAGCCCGCCATTCCCCAGAGCGCCCCCGCCATACCGGGAGAAAGAAGGAAGGAAGGAAGGAAGAAAGAAAAGAGGAAGGCGTGAGGAAGAAGATGCCCCGAGCGGTGCGGCGTACCTGGCGGCGCGGCAAGGGGAGCTGCTGGTGCTGTATGCGGCCAGGGGCGCCGGGCAGGAGAGCGCTCGCCACCTCCTCAGCGGCGCCAAGCCCTGGCGCAAGGCGGAGGAAGAAGTAAAGGCGGTCGCCGCCGCCATGTCGGTCCCGACGGACGGGAGCGCCGCCGCAACCAAGCGACGAAAGGAGGAGCCACGGCAAGACCTGGGGGCGTTGCGGAAGGCGGAGTTGCTGGTCCCTGTGACTGGAAGCACGGGCCGGTGGGGGTAGGAGGGAGCTCTGCCGGCGAAGGGGAGGGTAAGAGTGCCGTTTGTGGACTGGCCACCACCCGTGGTGTGGACGGGGACTGGTAACCCGCGGGTTTATGTGCTGAGAAGGGTGGCACAGCCCCTACCCACCTCCCAGCCCATACCACCCTGCACTGCTTGGTGGGCTGCGCCAGGAGCTTCTGCAGATGGTGATGAAAAAGGCGGTCTTTATTTGTGTCATTCGATTCGTATGAAATCCAGACAAAATGCGATGAGGGCAAAGCCGAGTTTCAGTGGCACAGGCAAGAGCCGATGGCCTTCGGAATTCTGAGCTGTACGCTCATGTCCCAGGGAAAGTTGCTTGGGCTTCCTTGCAACTTGCGTATTGCTGCTTTGCATAGTTTTCTGTGTTAGTTTTTGTCACGAAAAGTGTGGAGAAAAATCCTTTATGCAGAGGGGAAGAAGAGAACAAATTGAGATCTGAGATAGCATATACAAGGCATACCAATATAATACTGGCAACCTTACCTGCAGTAGTGAGCCTACTTACAGCTGGCAACTTTCTGAAGCTTGCAAAAGCTTTGAAAACATGCAATAGATGACTGAGGCTGTGGTTTCTGATGTGGTATGGGGTAGCTTTTTTCATCATTTATGTGTTTGCATAAAGTAGGTGGCTCAGGTGCTTCCACAGAAAATGTGCATACTGTTTTTTAATGGCTTCTCCTCCTACAATCTTACTGTCCTCCAGTATTGTGTATCTTACATAAAACATCCTGTTTAGTTTGTCATCTCTTATAAATAGTAGAAACAATAGAATCACAGAGTGGTTTGTGTTGGAAGGGGCCTTAAAGCTCATCCAGCTCCAACCCCCTGCCATGGGCAAAGACACCTTTCACTAGTCCAGGTTGCTCTAAGCCCTGTCCAGCCTGGCCTTGAACGCTGCCAGGGATGGGGCAGCCACAGCTTCTCTGGGCAACCTGTGCCAGCGCCTCAGCACCCTCACATGGAAGAGCTTCTTTCTAACATCTCATCTCAATCTCCCCTCTGTCAATTTAAAACCATTCCCCCTTCTCCTGTCCCTACAGGCCCTTGTCCAAAGCCCCTCTCCAGGTTTCTTGTAGCCCCTTCAGGCACTGGAAGCTGCTCTGAGTTCTCCCCACAGCCTTCTCTTCTCCAGGCTGAACAAGCTCATCTCTCTCAGCCTGTCTCCATAGCAGAGGTGCTCCAGCCCTCACAGCATCTTCGTGGCCTCCTATGGATTCACCCAAAGGACGTACACTCAAGGGGAACTATCCAGAGTGGATCTGTGTACTTCATTGGGTCAGAATGTGTCCCTTACAGTGTCCCCAGGGTTACTGATGCACACCTCAACAAACTGTGGGACCCCTCAGCACAGACAGATTTGTTTGGTGGCAGAAGGGCCAGCAGCTGGGCAGGAGGGGCAGTGGGGTAGGGGCTGCCACATGCCCAGTGGAGCAGGAGGCGGGCTGCTGGCTACCCGCTTTCTCTCTTACCCACAGGTCAGACTCCTGTTGTTGGACATAGCAGCAGTGATGGCACCACTCAGCCTGTCTCAGCTGCTGGATCAGTACAGCAGAGGTTGGACGTATGAACTTCAGAGCTCTGCACAGCCTGCTGCACAGCCTACTGCAGGCTGTGCTGGGGCTCCTGGCACAGCTGGATCCAGCTCCCTTGGGGCAGGGGGTGGGACCAAGGTCCTGGTCTGCAGGGACCTTCCCCTGGGGCTCACTCCTGTAATGGATGGGAACCTAGCTGGGAGTTGATTCCCTCTCCTGACTGAGAACCGTAACAAAGGACGTTGTTTGCCACAGTGTATTCAGCAGAGTATACATGTTTATGTTCATCCTGACTGTCAGAAAGATACAGGAAAACATCTCTGTGCAGCTGTTCTGTGACCTTCATACTTGGCCTTACTGGGGGGCCTGGCCAACACTCTCAGAGTGGACAACAGTGAGATCATGAGAAACTGTATGGTCCCATGAGTAACCGATTAGAGATCTGGCATAAAGCCAGTTGTTTTAATAAGGGTATAAAAGTGGGACCCTCTTGTGGCCATGAGAGAAACCTCATCTATGGATGGATGCACTGCATAGGAATCTTCCCAATTACCTGAGACTCCTGACATCGGTTGCAACAGAGCTTCCCAGCTGGAAGTGTGGGCCTGGATTATGATTCAGTAGTAATTAGTGATGTATTTCTTCTTAATCTCTGTTCTCGCTATACAGTAATGATTTAATGCATTGCTAACTTTCTTTGGTACTTATATACCTATATCTCTGATTTCCTTTATTGTACTTATTCACTATATAAGTGAATAAGAGAGAGATATTTACCTAATTCACATTAGTGTGCTTGCTTTAGTGCGCTTATTTGCTTTAGTGTGCTTTTTTAATAAATTCTGCATATTATACAGCTAGTGTGTGGTCACTTTGTGGCGTACCCTATGGGCAGAACAACCCCCACCACCTTTCTTTCTCCCAGCATCTGCTTGAGGAGATCAGCAGCATGAAAGAGGAAATCTGGAAGATTTGGGAGGTGTTTGGCTTGGTGAGCTGCTGCCAGTGTCCCTGGGGTCTTCATCCCCCTCCCTGAATCACCCTGCATAACCCTGTGGTCCCAGGTGTCACCCAGTGAGGGAAGAGTGGGAAGGGTGTCCCAAGAGGCCAGTGTAGGACCTCAGCCCAGAGCAGCTGGGGACAGAGAGGGGAGCCCTGGCTCTGCCCTTGCTGCTATAATTCTGCCCATAAACCTGCTCCCATTTGCCTCCTCTTCCCTGGAGGGCAGCAAGGGCCAGTCTGCCCCCACCAAGCCCCCCACTTGAGACATGGACACACTGCATGGGGTAAGTTCAGTGCTGAGGCCCAAGGAACCAGAGACACAGCGTGATGGCCCTGGCACCCAGATGGCCAACCCAGAGACACAGCAGGGATCCCCTGGCACTCAGGCCACCAGCCCACAGAGAAAGTCTGACGCCACTGTCACCCAGGCCAAGACCCCATGGAGAACGACTTGAGCCGCTGTCACTGGGGCCACCAGCCCACAGAAAGGGGCTGGAGACCCTGACACCCAGGGCACCAGCCCAGGTATGCAGCCAGGATTCTCTGGAACCTGAACCACCACCCCAGGGGTGCAGCTCACAAACACCATGCCCAGGCAGGCGTCTTGGCAGCAGGTACTCTGCCAACAGGCCTGGAGTTCAAGATGCCCTTTGACAGTGATCCCAGAGCTATGTGCCAGATACAACAGCTGGACAGCTCCTCAGGATTCTCAACCTCCAACAGTAACTCCAACTGCTCCATGGATTTGCTGGCGATCAAGATCAAGCTTCTTTACAACATCTATGATATCCTGAAGAAGCAGGTGGTCCAGCTGCAAGCCACGAAATTGTACCATACTGATCTGGAGAAACTGTGCCTGCTCCTCCAGGAGGGAGGTGGGAGCTCTGGGGGGCTGGTAGGCAGTTTGACACCCAGGTCAGGGGCTTGTCATCCTCAGAGCCTGGCCCTGAGGGTAAGACCCCCATCACTGACATTGTGTACCCTTGGACCATGTTCTTGTAGGCCAGGAGAGGATCACCACCATGCTGGATGACCTCCAGGGCCAGGTGTCCTCCTGCCAGACCAAAGCAAGAGATAGGTGACATGGGACCCATCCCATCACTGGGGTGCAGGGTGGCTCTGCCCCAGCCTGGGAGAGCCTGTGGCCCCAAAGTGGGGCTGGGGGAGATGGGAAGTGCAGCAGCTGGAGGAGGATGCTCAGTTGCTGATGAAGGGGGTGGCAAATGAGCACCTGGGTGGGGAGGGCAATGGCGGCAGCAGCACACAGCTTTATGCCAGAAGCGATTCCCAGCCCAAGCCTGCTGCTTTGCTCTCACTTCTGCAGAGGAGTGAGCACCACCCAGCTGCTTTCCTTCTCTCCTGTTGGGAAAATCCCCTTCATTACCCCATTGTCCCTCTTCCAGCACTGCCACCATTGCTGGAAAGAAGGCAGCACCGATCCTGCTGCTTCTCCCCTCTCAGGCAAAGCACCAGAACCCCTTCTCTGCCCCCTCAGGAAAGCCATGGGGTACAAGCCCATGGATTTTGGAGTGCTGCCCTGAGCCAGGGTGGAGTGTGTGAGAGAAACAGTGTTGGTTTTGCATAATTGGGGATGGGGCTTTGTAATATTAGGGCTTTATAATATTAGAGCTTTAAGATCAATATCAAGTCTTTGCAATATTAAGATTTTTAATATTGGGGCTGGGTTAAGTTACTAAGGGAAGGAAAAAAAGGGTTTGAGATACCATAACTTAGAAAGACACACCCTGGGCTTAAAGACAATATCATCTTTTGGAGGAAAGACACATTCTGTGGTTAAAGACAGTATCATCTCTGGAAGAAAGATACACTCTGTGGTTAAAAAGAATACTATCTTTGTACAACCTATAGGCCTAAGGAAAAGAGAGGGGATGAGAGGAATCATCCCGGGAATAACATTCCTCCGGAAAGTCTCTTAGGGAGGATGCTGAAAAATATACAAAGGGAAAAGATAGGAAAAACATGATACAGTACTGTTGTTTTATATGGAGAAAGGAAAGTATTCAGCCGCTGGCCACTTTTTGGCCAAAGTATAGGGATGAGGAAATATAAGTTTATCAGGTTTTAAATCTTTAAGTAAATGTCAAGGGGTAACAGATTCAAAGTTAAACAGGGGAAGTTTAGGTTAGATATAAAAAAGAAGTATTTTACTGTGAGGGTGGTGAGGCATTGGAACAGGTTACCCATTCCTGGCAGTGTTCAAGGCCAGGCTGGATGGAGTCTTGGGTGACACAGTTTAGTGTGTGGTGCTTCTGCCCATGGCAGTGGGATTGGAACTAGATGATAAGGTCCTCTCCAACCCAAACCATTCTATGATTCTATGATTCTGTGTTAAGGAACTCTTTCTCAGAAGAAGAATCTG